TCACTCAAAGAACCTTGACTGTTTATTGTAGGGTTTTTTGACAGCCCAACTATTGTTGCTTAACAATCATTTCCCATCACACCCCTGGCCAACATAACTAGGCTGGCAGAAGTGTGTAGTGTCAAGCTGGCCTCAGCCTCAGAGCCCTATGCCATATGTCATTAGATAGCAGTTATATGAGTCTCTAGGCACTATTTGTGGGAATATTCCTCTTCTCCACTACCTACAAAACTGAACAGTTTATGTGTACTCTTTGTCACATTGCAGTAACAACATGTTACTGCCAAGTTGTTTCAACGAACCCTTCCACTATTCAATACGCATAAACTAGGAAGGCAGTTAGAATATATGAAGATAAATATTGGAATTCAAAGCTGGAGCATGATGCAAACAATGGCACTTCCTTACATCTAGTTATCATTAGGAACCTACCAAAATCATGATTTCACATTTTTTTTTGAGAATGTGAAATCAGGTGGGCCCCGTGAAAAATGACAGGCTCTGTGACTTTGATGGGTTTGCTGCTAAACTCACCCCCCAAAACAAAAAAAAACAAAACTTACTGGCAAGCAGAGAAAAGGGTTGGAAGCCCTGTAGTCCTGAAGCGCCAGATGTGAGGTGTGGGGAAGGGCAAGTCAGAGGCTGAGTCTGTGACAGGAGCCAGTCAGGGTTTTGGCACCCTGCAGCATGCTGCAGCCTGAGGAGGATTCAGCATGAGCACTGAGAAGAAATCCTCCAAGAGAACAAAATACATTTCAGCACTTGGCCACGTAAGGCAGTATCCTGCAGGGACCTTGCACGCAGATGGAGGCAAAGTGTTCTGTACCGCTTGCAATGTTACTCTGGATGTGTCGAGGAAAACCAGCATAGATTGACACTTAGGCTGCTTGCTGACATTAAAAAAACAAACAAATAAACAGTGCTTTACTTTAAACTTGGCACGTTCCTGCACTGAGCCCTGCACTAGCCCAGAAGAGGCAGTGCCAACCTGGCTCTGCAGTGTCTGTAATGATTGAGGGCTTTAGTGGGGATTTTTGGGGGCAGTTTTATCTGACAGCTGATTGAATCAGCTTTAACTAAAAGCATACAAAACCCCTCTAAAGTGCCCGATCTTTACAGATGCTGCAGAGCTGGGTTGAAGTAACATGCTGCTGCTTCCAGTAAAGTGTGATTTTGTTGGGTTTTTTTTTAACATCCGCTAGCAGCCTTAGAATCTGATGTGCACATGACAGCAAAAGGCTGTTGCAGAGGCTAAAATTTGGAGCAAGAAACAAGTGACCATGTCTTCGCTTTTTAAAAGGACCATGGAAAGCAGTTTGGCAAGGCAAGAGGTAGCATTTTCCCTTATAGAGGCTTTCGCAGTGGCGAACATCATACTGGAGAAACTTGATCACCCAAAGTTAAGGACTGCTTGTACTAAATCATGCCAAATGTTGGCAGTTTTCTGTGTGTCAACAGGTTTTGCCAACATTATCTCCCTGTGGTGATTGCTTTGCATGTACAGTCTACAAAATCTGCATTGGCAGAGTATGAATCCTTCTCTATTGTGGCTGATGAAGCCACTGACCCTCAAGATAATTATGTGCTGAACATTTTATTTGTACCAAGGAGCTGAACAGACCAGACTTAAAATTTAACAAGATCTCAGCATTCCTGTTCGACAATGCCATGTACATGTGTAAGGCTGTAACAGGGAACCCTTGCCCTGTAACTGGAAAGTGTCATGGCCTATTTAAGGGCAGGGTCTTTGTAGCACAGGCACAGACAGCCAGTTGAGTGGAGGTTAAGGAGCAGTCTTGTGTTCAAGTCGGCTGACAGAGGAGTCTCATGACCAGAAGGGGGCAGGGCTTTAGGAGTATAAAAGGCAGATGCAGAGCCAGAGCAGGGGAGTGAGACTGGCTGTTACTGATGACTGCTGGGCAGGGAGCTAGGAGAAAGCAACCCAAGGGCTGTGATTCACATCCTGGAAGAAGGATGGTAGGCAGCTAGTGGGCTGGGTGTTTGTGTTGCTGCTAGAGGGTGTAAATTTATGTTTGTGTTTTAACTGGTGATTTGGGTGTGACTGTAAAGGGAAACTTGGAGATCCCATTAGCGCCCTAGCAGCATGTGATTGCCTTGATCCCTGCTAAGTGCAGGCTCAAGGCATAGTCACAGGGCCCAGATAAGGGCAGAGCTTGGGGCTGCAGCACAGAAGTCGGGTCTAGAACAGCGGTCTTGCATAAGGAACCAGCCAGAGTAGAGGGCTGGAAGCTGGGAAGGCTGGAGCCCCAACAAGGGAATAAAGACTTGAGGTGGCCTTGTGATTTGGGGACAAGTGTCCCACCTGATTGGTGACCTAAAACACCTGCAAGGCATGAGGTGTGTGGGTGAATGAAGCCACACAATAAGCCCTTAAGACAATTAAGGTCAAGAGAGTTGATCACTGGAGAGGAGAGAGCTTCTTAGGCTTACCAGTCTCTGAGGGAAGTCTCTATTTAATGACATTTTTATCAAGACATTTTATCATGTAAGAAGGCAAGGGGGAGACCTTGAGAGCCAGGGTAGAGAGATAGTTTAGCAGGGATGAGGGGTACCTGCAGGGGGCATAACAACGGCTCTCAGGCACCTAACCTGTTCCAAAGGCTTTCTCTGATGTTCTCCAAGGAATGCTGACCAGTGCAGTTCATGTCACCTGCAATGCACACCTTCAGTTTTTAGTAAGTGACACCTGACATATGCAGTTCCCTGATGTGGATAGCCTGGTATCCTCCTTCAAGGAAGCCTTCAAGTGCTGTCCAGGCCATAAGGTCCAGTATAGGGAATCTGTCACCCATTGAAGTGGGAACTTGCATGGCACTGTGTCGTTGTCACCAGAACCTGTGCTCAGAAAGCAAGGTTCAGCATGGTTTGTTACCATACCAAGCATATGCAGCACTACCAGCAATTTGTGAGCAAGAATGTGGAAATCACACCCAGCACACAGTGCATGCTTAAGCTTCAGTCATTTAGGGCAAGGCAACATTCAGTTTCAAATAACGTTTGTGGCTGAAAATGCTGCCCAGTTCATGCACACAAGCTGATGAATTTGATAAATTGGGTCAGAGACAGGGCATCACAGGAACTTCAGGCTGTCTGTGTGAAAACCAGTGTAAATGAGAACTCTTTCAGGTAATAGCTGTGAAGCTGAACCAGTACTACAGGTATGGCTTGTCACTGCCACCACGATTCAGACAACCATCTGCCTCATTCCTTAATGCTGTTCGCATTTTGGACCCCAACCAGGTGCCTGTTTTAACTTGTGACTCTCAGCTACTGAAATCAGTTCCTGGATGGCAAAAAGAGCATGATAATGAATGTGCTGCTTACATTAACTTTGTCAAAGAGTGCCAGATGCCTTTGCCTGGGTCTGCGGCTGTATTTTGGGATTCTGTCTGCGGCTGGTTTCCACATCTCTATGCCCTGGCAAGACGCCGCCTCATCATTCCAATAAACTCAGTGGACTCTGAGCATGCCATCTTAGTGTATGGACATGTGTTCACCCCACAGAGACAGAGAATGTCTGCAGCTACTCTCACCTGATGTCACATGCTGGTGTTTAATAGAATGAATTGCCTGTCTCAGGGTTAGCATTGAGTATAAACTCCTTTTTACAGTACCCTCTAATAAAGTGTATAGCGAAGGTATTAGTTACAATTCATGCTGTGTATAGCTTTAATTTCATTGCACAATTCAATTTAGAGTTTAATTAAATGCTTAGATTGTTTAATAATGCATCAGTTAATGGCTTTCATGGGCTTAATCCCTTGATTAAGCCCAAAGAAGCCATTAAGGGAAACATTATTAAGCCACGGTTTTGGGCCATTTGGCAATCTGTGGGGAGGGGCAGGACTGCTGGGGTCCCTTGACCAATCAGAGGTGGGGGGCCCCACTGCAATCAGCCCATGAAAATGGTGACTGGACGCCATTTGCATACAAAATTGGGCAGCCGTGTCCTTGCGTTTAGTAGACCCCTAGTTATTGTGGCCCACCCATTAGGTTCTTTTACAAAAGCAGTCCTGTTATCTGTAGCATTATCTGGGGGACAAGTTAAGGTTGTCACACGGGAGTAGCATATTGTTAAAATTTTTATCTACTGGCTTTCAACCTGGTTTTCAGGTTAAATTTAGCTATTCTTCATATTCCATAAGAACACTAGGCACCACTGAACAACCTTAACTCTGCACTGGTGCAATTCTGTGCCATCCCAGTGTTAAGTTTCTTTAGGTATAGCTACATCCTTGGGAAGCTTTTAGGTAAAAGATACTTTTACTTTACATCATATAGATAATACCAAATAACAACAGCACATTCTGGTTTGAACCCAGTATTTTAATGGGGCACTAGGTAGGTGGAAGGTACCAGTCTAAACTTACTACTTTATGCCTTATATACATAGTGGTTGTATATAATGATCTTTTGATTTTGTTAATAAATATTTTACTCCTCTCTTTTTCCTTGAATAAAAATTCAGTACTGATTGCTCTTTATACATGAGTAACTGCAATAGCAAACCAGAAAAAGGAGATTTACATATAGTTTCAAGTATCAAAGTGCAAACAGTGATAAAAAATGCTTTACAAGTTAATGGAAAATATTCCTAAATAGTACTGATTATATAAGAAGGACTAGATTAAGGTTTACATAAACGCAGGTTAGAATAAGGTATTACATCAGTATTTCTGATGTAAAAGTTGTACATTAATGAGACTTTTGCTACATTTTGTGGGAAAGAGGTCTGAGAAGATTATTCTTCATAGCTAAGTTATGCTCATAACTTTTGAGTAGTCTACAGATTTGCAAATTGTTTAGAAAAAAACCTGTCCTTGTTACTTGATGAAGTCAAGACTAAAAAGGAGTCACCGTATCAGTCTCCTGAGATGTACCACTGGTTTCCCTGTTGTATAGTATACCATGCTAATTTTAAGCTATGTTTCCAAAGAGGTACCTATCTTTTTTTTTAAATGTATTTCCATTTTTTTTAGGTAGAGTGGGGCCAACTGGATTATCTAGTAATTGACATGCCACCTGGAACAGGAGATGTACAGTTATCAGTCTCTCAGAATATTCCAATTGCAGGTACATTTTTGCTTGCCTTTTTCAAAAATGTAAAGTCATTTTAATTATTTGTAGCTATAGAAAAATCTTTTAGAAAGTAACAGTAAAAATGCTAGAAGAGTTTAATAATATAATATGAAATGGTTAGAATCAGTGGACTGGAAGGGACCTGTAAGATCATCAGGTCCAGTCCCCTGCCATAGGCAGGAGGTTAATGAGCTCAAACTAGCTCAGCAACCTGTTTATCCAGCCTCCTCTTGAACATCCCCAAGGTTGGCAACTGCACTACCTCTGCCAGGAGTGTGTTCCAGGTTCTCGTTACCCTTAGGGAGAAGTTCTTGCTTATGTCCAGCTGTGATCACTGGGATCTTATGGGTAACGTGGCCTGTCAGGTATGTAGCCCCTCCCCTCAACTCGCCTGCCATGACTTTGATGTTGAGCTATCTAGAGAGGGGGTTCAGTGGAGATCTTTTTGGAAGGGCTCCCTGACAATGGTGGTACTCATGATCATTCAGTGCGATGTTCCACGGGGCTCCACCTTCCCTACACCCTGCCCACTCGCCAACCGGATAGGTGATGGTGCGATGGTTGTTTTGCCCCCATGGGGCTTGCTCACCGCCTGCTTCAGGTGGGGCTACCCACGTCCCAGTAGGCTCAGTCGGCTCTTATACTTCCGGCCGTGATGCCTCAACCTTCTCTCTCTCTTTAGCTCTTTGATTTTCTTTTTCCCTTTTTTCCTTTTTTTCTATTTTGGATTACTTTAGAAGAAATATTCTCCTGGGGAGAGGAGGGATGTGGAGTTGCCTCCTTTTCCCCAGCCTCCTACAGGGGGTTCAAAAGCTGCCCCTTCTCTGCCTCCTGCAGAGAGCTCAGACGCTCCCCTTGGTCTGCCTTCCACAGGGAGCTCTAGTGCTTCCCCTGCTCTGCCTCCTACAGGGGGCCTAAGTGCTCCCTCTGGTCTGCCTCTGGCAGGGGGCTCAAAGATTTCCTCTGCTCTGCTTGCCAGTGCTGTTCTGGCTGTGCCGCTCCTCTTCCCTGCAAGAGCCTCAGCGCCTCTGGTGTGCTGCTCGCCTTCTCTCTCTCCCTCCGGCTGCCCCCCTCTGCAGGGACTGCCGGGGCTTTTAAACTCCTGCGCGGCGGCCAGTACAGCTGGGGAACAGCTGATTAAACAGCCAGCGTAACGCTGGCTGACACAGCTGCGGCTGCAGTCCCGGTTCCTGCGCTGCCAGGCTGGCGGGGGGTAAGTTTTCCCCATGGGGGGTTTTGGGACCCTTGGAGCTCGCCTCCACCCCTTTGAAGCCCTGTGAAGGTGCATTGCCACCGCACCAGCCTAAATGGTGATGATGATTACAGGTATGTAGCCCCTCCCCTCAACTTGCCTGCCACAACTTTGATGTTGAGCTATCTAGAGAGGGAGTTCAGTGGAGAGTATGTTAAGACTGCTGTTTGTATAGTTTTATAGTTTCATAGTCCGACCCTACAAACTATGAAACTATACAAACAGCAGTCTTAACATACCACTAATATAAAATGCATTTTTTCTGGAGCAGCAGTCAGAAAGATATAAAAGTTGAACAAATCAGTCTTTGGGGGAAAAAAGCAAATGTATTAAAAATTAATAGAGGTTATTGTTAATATTGGAAAATATATTCCCTACCTCTGGTCCATGCTGCATATGAATGATTACAGTTTGTCTTTATGATTTTGTTTTAGTTATAGGTCAGGTAATCCTTTAAGACAGTGATCCTCAACCTTTGATACCTCACATACCCCCTGCCTATCGATGTGGTAAAAGCAAAACTGGAAGTCCCACTGTGGCACTTCAGTTTCACTGCCATGAGCTGAGTCCCACTTCTTCTACTATGGCCCAGGGCCTCCCTCCCTTTCCCCTGGCACACTGATGCTGGGGAGTGAAACCCTGCCACACTGGACATGGCAGGAGGGGTGGCAGCCAGAGCTTGCAGCCCAAGCAGGTGAAGACCAAAATGCAGCACCTGTGTTCCCTCTGCCCATGTCTTGTGTACCCCCAGCAGTACGTGTACCGCAGGCTGAGAAACACTGGTTTAAAACACAGAATTAGATCAGACGAACTATACAATATTTTAACTTACTGTCCCAGCTGCCTGCGGAGGGTTCAGGATTGAGAGTGTTGTTGGGGGTAGAAAGGTAAGAAAGGTTTATTGACTTAACAAAAACACAACTAAGCGTAGTATACTAAGAGAGATAATTACAGGTGATAATAATTTGTGTCAGCAACTTATTGGCAGTCCCCTCTGATGCCTGATGTACGACAAGTTTCTCTTTCCACAAAGCTTAGCGAAGTCAGGCATCCCCGATCAGTGTTGTCCGAGAGGTACCGGGAAGGACCCTGGTATTCAGTCCTTGGGCTCCTTGAGATCTGTGGGCCCACTGAATCCAGGCCAGCGGCTAATCTGTAGTTCCTTTCACAGAGCTGTATCTTCCTTCTAAATGATTTCCGGATGTGCCAGCCAATTTATAACTTCTGAGCTATGTGGATAACTTACAATCATTCAGATTCTTTTTACTTCAACTGTCCTTAGACTGACCAATAGGATTACAAGCCTTGCATTCTTCTGATAAGGTTAATTTTAACTATGCCACAGGGCCTACCATTACTTCTATAAGGCTTTGCTAAATTTACTAGGCTTTACTACATCTTAGACTTTAATTAGGCTCTTAGCAACAACATATAGCTTAATAGCTGAACAAATGACAGAAAAACACTTGGTCTAATCTTCATCAAGCACACAGCTGTCACAACTAATGGACAGCTGAAAACTGTCTGTCACAACTAATGGATCCTTTTTTGGTATTAGGAATTTTAATTGCATCAAAAAATTTTAAATCTTGGTTTCTTGATCTTGCAATGTATTGTGTTCCCTCAAATTCTATTGATGCCTATGGGAGTTGAAGATGTGGCCTCTGAAATGTTGCACAGTACCTCATGGAAGCCTATAAGAAGGCTTCTAATGAGTTGAAGTGGGTTTTCCTATCTGATATGCTTCTGCAGAAACTGTTATCAACAGTAAAAGAATGAATATTAGGAATTTGGTAGTGAAAAGAGAAACTGGAATTTTGAACCTTAAGTAATGTATCCAGAAATATACAACTAATCTAAATATTGCCATTGATGAAGAGTAATTGATGGAGCAGTTGCTTTAATTTTTTTTCTGACCTGTGGTAAATATGTTGATATACAAAAAGGTAATATATTCAGGCATATGGTAGTGGCACTGATGTGTTCTGGGATGGGCCTGAAGATGCTCCACTCACCTGGTCCTGAACACATGCTTCACACCTGGAAGAAGGCTGAGGACTATACTGTCTAGGATGTCTGTCTGAGGCTGTTTTTTAGATCTCTGTTTCCACTGGGACCCTTAAGTTTCAACCCAGTCAAGACTGCTGCTTTGGTATAGATCAGGGACTAGCAACCTACAGCCCATAGGCCATGGGACTGGGGAGTCATGTGTGATGTTTTGGTGATAGGGCTTCACCCATGCAGTAGCTCAGGCTTGTCCAACATACGGCCCGTGGGACGCCATACGGCCTGCCAAGGCGTTTTCTGTGGCCCGCGATGCTGCAACGGAAAACCCCCTGTCCCTCCTAATGGCTAATTCCTAATGTCTGCTGAAGGGCTGGGAAAGGGACAAGGTTCCTACATGCACTGCATCAGTGTGGCTTGGCCCAGCCGGGTCCCTCG